GGTTTGTGCCCCCCCCCCCCCCCCCCCCCGGCCTCCATTTAGGTTGTATTTACTTCAGGAGTATCAAAATATTATTAGGATTCAAGGACAGGGGCTTAATAGATGGCAACCATTATTTTATCTTCTAGCTCTTCAAAAGAAGTTCTCCAGCTTTAAGGTAATGGTTTATAAAAATGTAGAAAATCATCATAAATTAACTTAAACGCCCATCTTGACATTTATTGTCTTCAGTTCAATAGCTTGGGGAAATTAGGTCAGCTGATCAGCTGGATTGCTTAGGCTCACATTCACAAAGCTGTACAAGACAAAAACCTACTGAAAGCTGAAATGCTGAGCAGGGGCCATAGCCCACCCCTAAATAAAAAGGGAGGATATTCTTTCTTTCTGTCATATTTTCCACAATTTCAGTCAGTACTACACGTTGAATTAAACTATCCCACATTACCTTGGGCAATCTCAAGCTGCCGTTTTGCATCTCCTAATGCAGAGAACAGATCCAGCTTGATTCTTGTCTCTGCACTCAGGCTGTTCTCTAAGTGCTGTGTTTTATCCTGCATGGCTGAAAGTGCTGACATTAACACCTCCGTATCCTTCTCATTTTCCTTGTACTTCCGCAGCTCCTGTAGGAGTAATTAGGACAAATGTTATTCTCATCGACTTTACACATGAGATACACTGAGAAGTCTTTCTCTTCCCCACAGCACACCACTGGGCCTGGTATTAATACTGTAAAATTAAAATGATGGTTAATTAAGGACACTGTAATATTACCTCCAGTAATTATACATGACCATCATACAAGTGATTAAAGCCATATTGTACAACGCATAATTACAGTGCGGTGAGCAAGTACCATTTACTCTGCTTCTCAGCCCTCTATCATCCGTATCGAGACCCTCCACCCAGAAACCCTCCTCAGCACTTCCAAGTGCCAGCTAAGCAGCCGCACAGTACTCTTAGCTAACCTGTGGAGTATGAAAACACTTCCCGTAAGCAAAATGGCTAGAATGGGGACTGATCTCTTGCTAGACAATTTAAAGGGATACTAAATAAGCATTTTAAGCTATTTCAGTTGGCTGATGAGAGGGATTTCTTTATCTCAGAATACTTCCCACATTGAACCTAACTGTGCTGCAAACCCAGAAATTTAGGAAAGAGAAAAAGGAGGGAGCAAGTATTCTACACCTAAGAGACAGGCACCTTGTGGCTGGCAAGTATGGATTAATATTTTGACTAAGAAAAAAAGAAATGCTATACACAAAAAAAGTTCTATACTTTTGAATGAAGAAACAATAATACAACAGGGGAAATATTAATGCCTGCAGCAAAAAGCTTCTCTAACAGTTTGAAGACAGTAATAAAACCAAAAAGCTTGATTATAGCTGGGTTTAATTATCTGAAAGCCATGCTCATATTCTCTATGGATAACCACAGTTGTTTTCAAGGGTTTGGTAAACCTAGGAACAACAAGACTGCATATGTTATTTGGAAACAAATTCACAATAAGACCAGGTGGATTCTGAAGAGTGTCTAAAAACCCACAGGACATTAAAAATACATATTCATGCAAATTGCCAGTTGACAGTCCGCATACATCTTTAGGAACAGACATTTTAAAGGAATAAGGTCAACTTCAACTCACACATTTGAGCTCTTAAACTCTAACATGCCAGACAATGTGTCTGCTGCAAGTCTACCACAATGTACTTTCAATATTCAAGCCCTTTCACAGGAAAAAAAAAAAAAAAAAAATTTAAAATGTCTGGCCAGTGATTAAGATTGCATTGAGTAAGCAATCTTACTTGCTAGCAGCGAAATTTATAATGATACATACTGGCAACAAGCTCCTCATATTAGACCAAAAAATGTTGTTGAGGGGATTATATTCTCAGCCTACCCAGACCATTCGTTTGGGGGGGGGGGGGGGTAAAATCTAGTAATTTAAACAATTGAATGGTGTGGAGCTGAGACTATTAACCTTTCTCATACCCACATTCTTACAAAGCCTGATGCAAGATATGCAAGACAGACATCTCAAGAGCATAATTCTTGAAGGGGTTGATTGCCTCTTATGTAGATTCACCAATTTCAGAGGGTTGAAAGCAACTCATTGTGAGGATGATCTAAGCCCCTGGTGCTTTCTCATTACCTGAACTTTTATTTCTAGTTCTCGTATCTGATCTTCTTTCAGCTTTATGTCAATTGTTAGCTTCTTACACTCTGTCTCCAGCTCTCGGATACGATTTCGTAAAGTTTCAGTACATTCTCCTCTGCAGAAAAAACATTAAAAGAGAAGAAGATGAAATAAGAATGAGACTGTCATTCCTGAACTGTTTATAACATGAAAATTAATATAAATATTGAAGGATAAAAAGAGGAAGCTAACTTTGTTCTTTTCAGCAAGAGAATTTCCCTTATGGCAACAATGCAAAGAGCTGCAAAAAGTTACTCAATGTTACGCCTCAAGTATTAGGAAATTTGGAATATTTATGAAATATGGGGCAGAAACGCAGAAATAATAATTCTTAGACATTTGAAGCACTGCAGATTAAAATGATCCACATTTGTGCCATGCTTTCATCTTGAAAAACTTCCCACCTATACACCTATGTTACTACTGAAACACCACTGTCCTGAGCACTGGTAGTCACTGGCTAGAGCAGAAAACTTTCAAAATCTGCGATCAAGACAGTATTTTGGCCAACGTTTTTACATGTATCCTTGATTTACAGCCCCCACATGAAAGGTGATGTTCCTTTTTTTAAAGCAGACTGACCCATGCAGGGTACAACATCTCTGTTAGCACAATCAAGGTACAGCAGATAATTTAGAGCATATTCATCCTTTACATCCTGTAAATGGAATGTATATGAGTACTGAGACTCAGCTTCATGCAAGATCTCCCAGTCCTCCCACTGCCTTAACACAAATAAACCTCTTAACACAAATACAGCTTTAAAAAAAAAAATTTAAAAAAATCAAATACAGTACAGAAGAGTGAGAAGTGCCTCCCCAAATCCCCCCAAAACACATTTCAGTAGCAACAGCTACATTTCAGTAATTTTCTGGAGCTGAGCTTGCTTCTTGTGTAGAACAAAAGTACCTTGTAGCAGCAGCAAAGGCGACAGCACGTGCAGCAGTTGCTTCTTCCAACTTCTTTCTCTTCTTTTCTTCCATTAATTGTTTTTCTACAAAGGCTCGTGCCTCCTGCTCTGCCTTTAGTTTCTTCTCCAACTGGCTGATCATTTGTTTGTCTTTTTGTTTCATTTGTACAGCATTGTGTAATCTGGAAAATAACAGGTATGGGATTTAATGGAGGATTTTACTTACTAAAAATAAATTGCTGCCAATGGTCCCAAATGAGTCTTGCTGGATTTGCAGACAAGTGCCTCAAATTTTGTAAAGTCTTAACATAATAATTCCCCTTTACCAGACTACAGTCATCAGCAACTAATGTACACAGCTGCATAAACACACATACTTGTTCTGAAGCAGTTCATTTTCTTGCCGGAGCTGTCCGATTTCAGACCGAATTCCCCGCTCTGTGTTAGTCAGAGAACTGATCTGACTACGTAGCTCCTGTTCAATCTGCCTGCTTGCTTGCAGGTCAGCCTTTAACTTTTTAATATCTTGTTCCAACCTAAGAAAGACAATTTTAAAAGATAATTTCACTTTATTTCCCAGTTACCCAAAGGTTCAAGCACATTATATAAAAATAAGCAGAGTAAACAACATACCATCTGCCAACCCCCCCAAACCCTTCATACTTAAAATAATCAGCTCTCAGAAATTATGTCTATCCTTGCTAAATAATAATGTTTTATGTAACTACACACATATAGCTCTATGTATAGCTATGCACACACTTCATAACCTCCCACAGGAATTTTGTTTTCCTCCATGCACTGCAGAGTTGTAAAACAAATCCTATGGAATTGTATCTTTCCTCTTCAAGCAGAAGTGAAATGGGTAAGTCTGAGAAGTTGTAAACAAGGACAGGTGCACATATGAACAAATTTTACTTTTCTCAACTAATTCTGAGTTTCATTTGTTAGTTATAGCTGAGCAATGGAGCATACTGCTGAATTCTCACCTAAACATTTTTTTTTCTTGAAGTACATGATGTGCATGTTGAATAAAGAGTACGTGTTAAGTCATCCACAGTTCAGGAGTCAGTAAATGTAGTTTTAATTGCTCCTGAACAGAGACCATCTGCTATACACTTAATTGTAGCTTCTGAAAGTTCTTGAAGACTCATGCAAGCTTATTAATTAAAATATTTTCAACCAAAACTGGTTAAAGAAAACACGAATTTCTAAAGAGAGGCCCCTAGCTCACCTTATTTTTTCCCCACATTTTCAAAACAAGATTATTGATTCTTAGAATAAAAACACATCATAGGTGAATAACCAACCATGTTTTACAAGCACTATGTTACATACTTATTTAAAGCAAATACGTCTCTCAGTCATTCACACATAATTCTCATTTGCTCCGTCAGTTATTGATGTAAAAATTTTTCAATGTTCATAAAGAAGATAAAGATGGTTTTGTTTCCTAAAGTTCCATACAGAATTAATGGTAGTTGAACATTCAGACTTGGGGAAAATAGTCCCAAAAGCCAAAATGAACTGCCCTTATTGACATTCACTAGCACAGATGAACGGTTATAGCTTTTTGTCCTCGTAATGAAAACTACTTAGCTCTTTCGGGCTTCTGCGCAGGAAAATCCTCAACCTAAAATGCTAGCGAGAGATGTAATGATATGAGGCATAAGAACATCCTGTGTGAATGAATCAGGAGGTTAAATGTGGAATCATCAAACTTATGGAAATTCATAAAAGTATGTCTGTATTGGCTAAAACTGCACCAAAGAGGTCTACTGGGTAAATGAACAGAAAGAAACAGCCTATAAAAGAGTGTGGTCTATAATACACTCATAGAACTCAAATGCTCAGAGCCTACTCGCTACAGCTGTACTAAGCTGTCTTTCCAGTTATACTTGAACTGCCCCACTGGTAAGATGAATTCCTTTTACTATAGTATAAATTGTGGTCAAATGTACCTCTAAAAAGAAAAAAAAAAACCCCAACTTATACTTAGTAGGCAAACAGCAATAATACAAAGCAAATACACATTTCATGTTGAAGACCACAAATCATTTCAACTCTGTTGTAAGAGGAAAAGAATTTGCAAACCTAACCAAATATTCATTCAACCATGTAACACAGCACACAAACCAAAAATGGAAAACCCATCAGCAGACCGTATTAGGTATGTATTTTCACCGTGTTCAGTATGTTAAGTGATAGAGCTGGACAGCCGTTTGCATGATATAACAGTTCAATTTAATCTTCCAATAAGCAGTAACTAAGTATTTTAGAAAGAGCAAACTTATTAATTGAAGACAGTAAGATGCTGTAGGAAGCATTAACAGACTCTTGCCTGCCAACAGCTGATTGGTTTTAGTATAGGTTTTCATAAATAGGTGAAAAAACGGTTGGTAGGAAAATGTAAAGGAATGCACATAAATCACACACACTTTACATTGACAAGTATGTATAAATAATTTCAACATATATCTCTACAATAAAGGATAACTGTGAAAATAAGACAGCTGTAAATAGCCATTTCCCTGTAACTAAGACTATGACAAACTTGCTCAAATAAGATATACCAGGATTTATTTTGGTTATTTAGTATTCCAGGAAAAGAAGCACTGATCAGGTAAAGCCCAAATAAATCAGCGGTGCTGGTACAGGACAAGCTGAATTTGTATTTTTGGCAACAGAGTATTGACATTAGTTCAAACTTCTTAGGCCATCTGGCTCATGGCATTCCTGCTGGTTTCAATGAGGGCTCTGTACCTGCAGTGCTCATGGGGCTGGTCCAGACTGTGCTGTAAAGAAAGATGAAACCTGCATGATCCATAGAGTGCACACAAACATGAGCAGACAGGATGCCTACTTTCCAAACCAGGAGGAAATATATTAGGTGACAAGCCACAGCTTTCCTTTTTACACAGCATAGGTTTAAGTGTCCAAACAGAGCTGTGTACATTACATTTGCGAGAATTGGGGTCAGGAAGCGTTGCGCACTCGTTATACATCACTCAAATCCTGCCTGAACACAGAGCCAAAGCCTCATGGATGTCCTTTCCACCCTAACTTTTCAAGCATGCTCCAAGCATCAAATATTCATCCTTTTACTCTGAAGGACCACAGGGGACTTTGGGTAGCTTTTACAGGAAAACAAGACCAACCTGCCATTCACTATGACTTTCACTGTAAATCGCAAAGAAGCCAGGATTAAATTCACAAGAATCAATTGAACTCTGGGTGCTTCCATTGCTTATGAAAAAACAGTAGCCACACCGCTAAAACACACCCAGGCAGACCACATACCGATAGAATATTACTGCCTATGAGCAGTTGGCGCTGTTCGCCTGCAACCCTTCACTGACTAAACACTGCAGAGAGAAGCTTCTTTTTTCTTAGAAACTGCTAGCAGGTATAAACTGGGAACTATATACATTGCGCATCCATTAAAACACAGTCTCTGATTTACTAGCCACCACAAATGAGCTCACCGTAGGCTCAGGAGTGAAAGAATGGCAAGTTAACCAGTTTGACTTACTCTAAGCAAAGGATCCAGTACTTCCACACACCTGAATTTCAGAACACCATGCAGTTAAGAGTTTTTATTCTGTTGTGAAACAATCACTCCTATCAGCACAGATGAACTAACTTAAACAGTCAAAAGACAGAATTAACATATGTAAAACATGATCAATCTACATACAGTGAGTGATCAACTGCTATAGTGCAATTCCAAAGGGGCAAAATGGAATTAATAGAGAAAACTAATCTCTTCCAAGTCAATGTCAGACAAAACCATTTCTAAACAAGACTATCTATGGATGGACTTATTTCTAAACAAGTTTTAAAGCAAGATTTTACCAGATTTTAATTACTCCTTTTCATTATACTGTAGTTTTTACTATAGCTTTAAATACCAGAGCAGATGTTTTCTGCGATTTATAGAGAAAATAAATGCTCCTTACTATCTAAAGTGAGTTAGGAAGCTAATAATCCATCATAATGCAAGGACCAAATGTTTCCTATATGTTTTCTCTCCCAGACCTTCCACTATTAGCTAGAGAAACAACTTCATTTAAAAAAAAAAAAAAAAAAAAAAAAAAAAAAAAGAGAGATGTGAAGTTAGTTTCCCCTCAAAGCCATATGTACTCCTTGCATTCTCTGGTGTGTAACCATGTTCTTATCCATCTTATAAAGTCCAGTCAAACATTTTCAGCCTAAAAAATTCCTCCTGTGGAACGGCAAGTCAAAGCTCTTCTCTGTATATAGACAGAGAGGTCATCCATCATTTCACAGAAATACAAAGAGATTAAAAACACCCTTTCTAAAATGTTGCCCCCTTTCTAAAATGAAAGCGCATTATCAAGGTAAACCAATACAATGTCATAAAAGAAAGCTTCGCTGCTATGAGCACAGACTAGTGTGTGGAGTTTTCCCTCCTCCCCACCGTAATAGTCTGCACTACTGTTACAATGATAAATGACCCAATAAGACAGCACTTTTTTTATTATTATTATTCTTTCTGCCATTTCATTTTCTGCTTAAGTCTCTTATTTCCAGGCTTATTGGAAAAGTTATTTACAAAGAGGGGTGAAGAAAACTTGAGTTCTAGAAAATACTTTTCTCTATTGCTGCACAAACTACAAGTCATTTTGACACACAACTATTTTTAAAATGAGGGTTTAGTTGCAGATTATTACATTGTGCTGTTTATACAACCAAGGCCAATTTCTTTTGGTTTGTCATTACTATAAATGCAGATTTACCCCTTTTCTTTCCTCAGCACTACCACATATCATTGCTGATCTCACTGATGAAGAGAATTAATCAGTAGTCACCTCCAAGACTGAGTATTTTTCCAAATGCTTCAAGGAAGATTGATGGATCAACTTAAAGACAACTCAATTCAGCTTAATCCTCTTACGTGTTGATAACTGGTGAATAACATACCCTTGTTGCTTAGTTTACTTGGTTAATGCAATTCCATAATCACCTGACAACTGCACACAAATTAAACACAATTGATATAAAAATTAAAGTTTTAAAAGACCCAGAAAGCACCCGGATGCTTTTCTAAGACTCATTTTTTCCTTTGTTCTATTCCGGCCCAATCTGTTGGCATAAGCATCTGCCGCAGTGAACCTACTTCTTTGAAGTAGCCAATGTGATCCCACGGCACTGAGGTTCTCCTGCTGTAACTAATATGCTGTTACCAGCAGTTCCTCAGAGCATTTTTCATTACCAAAAAGACAGTAATCCACAGAGAGAAAGCAGAGTTACTTATTTTTTTTCCTGCACAGAATCGATCTAAGTAGCTGGCATTTCAAAAGGTTATTCTGTTTCTGAACAGTCCAAGCACTACGCTGACAGTGGCTTGAAAATGGTCTGCTAGAAGGATTGCCTCCCAGATTTCTAATTTACATGCCCAATTCTTTTGCTTTTCTATTCTATACTTTCCTTCACTCCCATCATATCGCAGGAAACACTGACCATCTCCCCCACTGCAGCTGACAGCAGCAAGCCTTCTGGTATACTAATGCCGTTTCAGGCAGGGGGGATAAGGAAGCAGCAGCAATCACTTTTAGAATGTCAGTGGTGCCACAGAAGATGTATAATAATTAGCATCAAATGAACAGAAATTTACATTGAAACCTTCAAGTTCATCTCTGCAGGTAATATTAAATTTTAAGAAAGCAAAATAAGATGTGGCAGACCAGCCCTTGCTTCACAAATATTTTTCTTAGACCAACTTCCAGAAGATGTCATCGTTATCTCTGAAAATAATTAGTACATAAGACAGCTTGTTTCAACACCTCATGTGCCAAAGGCAAGACCTCTATGGATACAAACAGTTTTGCCAAGCTGCACTGCCAGTTTTTTGTATGTGGGGGGGTTTTTTTGTTTTTTGTTTTTTTTTAAGGATGCAAATAACTAGAGGCAGGACCTGATTATTACTGTGTAATAAGCAACACACACACAAAAATTCTGCATCAATTACAGCTTGGACTTGTTCCATACATCGAGCCCCCTAAAACATGAACAAAACCTGCTGCACCTCAGAAGTGACAGTGAAACAAGTAACAATAACAAAAAGTCAACTTGCTCTGTACCTAGTGACAAACACTATTAAGTGTAAGGGGATATCACGGTTAACCCTGCATTGGATACCAAATGTATCCCTCCGTTAGCCCAATTACCGCAATGTTGGGAAATAAGCAACTCAGATCACAGAGATTCAATTATTAAGTTCTTGACAAACAAACAGCAGATTTCAGCATCCATCAGAAGTAGATATTCATTTCAATTGTAGGAACAAACAAACAAACAAAAAACCAAACTTAAGACAGAGGTTACTTTAAAGGCTGATCAGCAGGGACAGAGCCACTTGAATTCCTCTGCTCTAGCTAACAAGATGACAATAACGTAACATATTATTCAGTGAAATAGCTAGAGATGGGTATCAGTAACTTCCTCTCCAGAAAACTAAACACACATGCACTAACCATTTACCAGACAGAACAAAAATAAAAACTTACTTTCAAATAAGAGTAATATTGTATATATAAAATATAAACTTAAATTTATTAGCAGTACCCTTTCAGATATAAATGTCACATCAAATATTTAAGGGAAAAAGTTAACAAGCATGCAAGACTGTCTTGTTCTCAAAAAACCCCAGTCTTTACTGTCTAGAATAACCCCTGTTAATCCTGAGTCCCTAGCAGTCATAAGGCATACTTTACATTTAATACTGGTTAGTCAGCTCAGGGAAATCATTTGTGAACACGAAAGCAAAGCAGCTTGGTTTTGACATCCTGCTGTGAGTCTGCTGGACAAGTAGTTATAAAAAGCATCTTTATTTGGAAGCTGAGCAGATCTGATCTGAAAGCTGGACACAAATGCAGGACTTCACATAGCCCTTTTCAGGGTACGGCACTGATGCAGACTAAAAGTTTAATAACAGGAATGAGTAATACTACTGGAAGTGGAAAAGATGATGAACAAATGCCTTACACTCCAGGGACAGGGTAACTGACAAGTTAAAAAAAACAACACATGAATTTTTAAATTTAAGCGCAGAACATCCCATCCAATTTGTCAGGTAAGTTTATGCTTCCATTGGTGTAGGAGTTACATACTCAATCTGAATAGAAACAAGATTTCATGAATGATTTCAGTCATCTACGTTTGTAAGAAACTGTGAGCAGCAACACACAGGACGTTGGTGTTTTAAGTGCTCCTGGCTTGCTTGCATGGGGAAATCAGTGTACAACAAGCAGGTACAGGAATTTGTAGCACAGCCCCACATCACACCCACGCATCACATAGAAACACTTGACAAACAAAAGACTGAAGTAGCTTAATTCACTTTCAGGGCAGAGTAAGGCTACATTGCACAAAGGCACTTTCAGAGGATCCTGTGTACTCTGTCCCTACCCAGTAAATTAGAGGAGCTAGAATTCTGTAAGGACACAGTCTAGTTTATTGTATACTCACTTCTGCATCAGAAAGCCCACTTTGGACAATTATAATGACTGCCTGGTCTAAGCTCACATCACAGCATATAAGAATTTCAATATGTAATTTAAAACTTAAAACACACAAGGTTTAAAACTCATTCCTTGTCATAGCTACATGGGACAAAATTCTTAGTCTGGCAGGTCATTCTATAAAGCGCTTCCCTTCTCTTTTCTCAAGACTTATGAATGATATTTTGAACTGCAGCAAAGCTAAGTGGCCTGTTTTCATCCTCAGTGAGCAAATAAGCCATATAAAGAGTATAGAGATGCCCATCTGAAACTAGCAACATACAAATACAGCAGTCCTGTACATGTTTATTTAGATGCAGCTTTGCTGAAGACAGAGCCATCTGCTCCCATTAATCTTGGCTGAATTTGATTCACAGATTAGATTGATTAGCTGGTTTCTTATTTGCTTCATACAAGTTCTCTACAGACATTAGGTATCAATTAGTCTGGATATTTAATTGGCAGAGGTACACCAATCAGTGGCAGAGTGATTATCAGAGGAGAAAATAGTATTTTCACTGAAGTAATTGTATTCACATAGCACAAATCCTCAGAGACAGACCAGAGTCAAAAGTCCAATTATCAAAAGGTACCTGCAGGGAAAGCGAACCTGATCTGCCAATTAAGTTAGCCAACAAGGATTTGTTGGCCAAAGAGTGTTCAGCACACGAGAAAAGGAAAAAAAGAGACATAGGCCAGGAATGGTAGGAAAGTGCATAATTGTGCAACAGTTTTGTTCTAGACATATCTCTGTCCCCATTCTGGACAGTTACGCACTACCTCTTTCTTAGTTCTGGTTCTGGTTACTTGTTCTGGTAACATATGACAACACCATATGTCTCAGGACTCACACACTTTAACTACTTAGCAGCATTTCATAAATACATCTTTATTTAAACCTCAGATAAGCATATGTAAAGATGTGACTTTTTCAATCTTTATAGTTTACAAGGCAGCTAAATTAAATCCTTGTGACCTGTACTTAAACCAATAGGGCAGCAGGTAGGCAAGCAAGAATCTGAACTTATCACTTTAAGAAGTTACATGGCAGCTGACACTTTGCATCTATACTCATGAATTGAAGATTAAAACAAAAGCCACACATTTCAAGGGAAAAGAATAAAACAAAAAGTTAAGACAAAACACCTGTTCAGGCACCATCAAACCCCACTGAATTCCCTGGAGATGTAAAGGTCACTCTGTGGAAGGTTTGTCAAGAACACATCCACCGAGTTCTGTAATGGCGATTCTTTACATTTCCCTCATGCCTTCTATCAAATGATTGTCAAAGCTATTTATTATGCCTCACAACACCCCTGTGAGGTAGGTAAGTATCATATACTGAGGTAGGTAAGTATCATATACTGAGGTAGGTAAGTATCATATACTGAGGTAGAAAGGAAGCAATTTGCTCAAGGCTGCATAACAAACCAGAGGCAAAAATCAGGAACGGAACTCAAAAGGCCCAGTTCCTAGTTATCTTATTCCATTACTAGACAATTGTCTCCTTTATGGGATCATAAGTTACATTTTCCTAAGAAAAAAAAAAAAGATTTGATGTAGTGGAACGAAGGGAGGATAAGACAGGCTATTACACAATGCTCAGATCAAACTTACCTTACCAGTGCATCTGGTTTGCTTAGCTGGTTATTAGGAATACAATTTTCCATTAAGTCCTTATGTGTGCTTGGGCTTTTGCTAGCACACTTCTGTTTTTTCTCATTTTTAGTAGATGAGGAAGGGATGCTCCCATTAGTTGCACTGTGACTGCGAGGCGAGGAGTTCACAACTCCGCTGACATTTTTGTAATTTTTGGACGAGGCAGTGCATGAGTCCTCTTTTAAGAGGTTTTCTGTACTTCCTACAAGATCATTATTTAATCTTTTACTATTGATATGGTTTTCCATATATTCAATTTCTTGTATTTTAGAGTCTACAGGTTGCAAAATATTGTTGTTTATTCCAAGGTTGTGTTTCTTAGCATCCTTGTCCTTTTCTTTCCCTTTTTCTCTATATTCTAGCTCTGGCAACGTTGCAGATATTTTTTTATTAGCTGGAATGCCTCCATTGTGCTGCAAAAGTATTGAGGAATCCATATCAGATAATCCTTTGGCTGCTGCAATACCAAAATTAAAAAAAATACTTAGTTCATTAAATCAATCAATACTGTGACATACAAAGAAAAAAATCATTAAGTACACATCAATTATTTCTGCAGAAAACAATCATTATTAGAGTCTATTTAGAAAAGAAAATCAGAAGTCACATGATATTTTAAGACTTTTTCTCATTACAGGCAGGAAACAGTAACCAAGGGATTTAATAATAAATACTAGTGCTTCATAGAGCACTGACTGACTAGATTGATGCAGTTGCTAACAAAGAACTAAACAGCGGACGCATTTCATTTCTACTATCATACTAACCACTGCCAAGATCATTTTATTTCTGCTCTTCTCTTTCTAAGTTCACTATACTTTGATCAAAACAACATGGACTAAAGAAGCTCTTCCTTAGCAGGCTTTTAGGCTTTTTTTTTTTTTTTTTTTTTTTAATAATAGCAAACACATTAAGTAAGAAATACAACTTGCCTTCCTCTGCCTCCCTCTCTTGCCTTTGTAACATCTGCTGTTCGGGGGGCAGAGCTTGCTGGAGAAGCTGCATGTAGAACTCATTCTCTTTCTGCACTTCTTTTTGTTTTCTTAAACGCATTTTGTAGCTGACGTAACTTTTAAAGCCAAAGCCCAAAGTCACAACAGGATAGCCAATACTAAGAAAAAAAAGCAACATTATTAATCAAAATGTAACCATAATAGCAAATGAATAAATTGTAATAAATTATCTAGCTGTGAATACGTCTGAATTACAACTTTTCATAGAAAACTATATACAAAACATTTTTTGCTGTACTACAATAAAGCTACAGTTCAAAAATATAGGCATGTCTTTATCAAGATAAAATTACAGTTCATTACAGACAGCAATTAACTGTAGCATAGATTAAAGGATTACGACAACGCAATTGCACTATGCATAGCAAAGACAGCTTTTAGACAAGCACCAGACTAGGAATTATACATCTTTTAAGGAGATAACAGCCAAATACAGCAGAAATTCCCAAGTTTTGTACCTAAAGGGCCCTGTAATATGCAAGACATTAAACTGGGAGGTGTGTTAACAACATTCACCCAGAACAGCAAAAGGAGAAATTGATCCTTAGCCCCATCCTTTTGCACTCAGAAATTAATAGCACATCCCTCTTCCACCACTCTTTAAAACTGAGACAAAACAATGGTTCTCCAAAATACCGCCTCTGCAACAGGCCTTGCAATACCTTCTCACTGCAGCACAGGCTGAGAAACAAGAGCTGGAGAAGCCGTTGGAACATACAGCTTTGGGTCTACTGCATTGCTGAGGGGGACCAAGGCTGTGAGCCAAAATGCCATCACCCACACCTGGTACAGCCAGAAGTGACCCTGGAGGTAAAGCCTCAATAACCATCTGCCTCTGTTGAGGATGGCCACAATTAAGACATCTTCTGTGGGCAACAAAAGGCCTTTGGAAATTCCTCATTTAGGAGGCTGACCTTGAAGCTGTAAGTGAAAAACATCTAATCTCTAGACTTAGTTCTTCCACTTATCTTACTGACAGATAAGATATGAAGAATTTCACTTCCAGCAGACTCTGCTGTTCCATTTGTTGATAGGGATGACAGAAGCATAACAGAACTTCGGAATTATTTTTTTGAGTATCAGCTTCATCATGCAGAATTTAAGTATTCTTACTAGCTTGTGACAACTGCACCAATACAGAATACTAACAAATCATGCTAGTGTGTTTATTAACAAGGATACTCAATCAATGAGCAAACACCCCTGTATAAAAATAAATATATCTTTGACAAGTATTTCAACAAAGCACAGTGAAGTTGCATTTTAAACACTGAAGGTATCCTAGATCAGGGGAAAACTCAGATGCAGGTGACTATTAACCATTAAAATCTTCTCATTCTTTGCTCAGTAATAGCACTGTGCAAATCACATTTCTAAGTAAGCTGCCAGAATGCAAGAATCATTTGCATATGCATCTGACATTATCTCTGCCAATGCTTCTTTTGTAACACTGTGTAAAGCCAGCTGTAGCTACAGTTCTAAAACTCTGATGACAAGCTGAAATGTTTGCATCCAATTCAGCAGCAGAAAGACCTTTCTTCACAGCTCCTAAAGTGCTTTTGTAACCTATTATAGAATTTAATTAGTGTTTAAAGGATTTAGTGCACAATGTAGACAATATAAATTAAAATGACAGATGTCTAATTTATTGGAGACTGTATCACAGGGAATTGGACCAAATGACTCCAGGAAAAACGGGACACTTTTTAAACATAGCCCAATCAATGCATACTACACTAAAAACTTGCAGAATAAAAGTTCACTTCTTCCAGATATGGATACTCTGCAGTTTAAGTCTTTTGCCTGAAGTCACTCTTATCACTTCCAAAGAAGTAGTGTAATAAGTAGCATTTGTTTTTTATTTTCTGTCATCATTTTCAACCTGAAGCTTATTCACTTCCTCTGGTGAATTATGAAATCAGACGCTCATGAGAATCCTTCTCATTGGAGAAGAAAAAGAGGGGTGCTTTGTTACAGAAAAGGAAGAAGATTTTCATAACAGGATACATAAATTATCAGTGAAACTATTTTTTTGCTACTTTTACCATCTATTTATTATGTAAATACAAAATTTGTAAACTGATGACAAGAACTTTCAAGAAATGCTATGAATATCCATGCTACAAATTCCCTACAGCTCACAAGCACTGTATCTTTAGAAAGGTTACACTTGGTTAATGTTTAGCGTACATTTCTTGTGGAATATTTAATGACAGATGTGCAAGGGGAGAACTGAAGCCAAACCCTGAATGAAAATAAAAAGCCCTGAATATTAATTTCCCTGCTGAAATAAAGGTTAATAAGAAAAGGAGAAAAAACCACTTACCAGTGTGCTGCAAATGGACGACATAGGTCTACATGGAAGTTTTTTAAATCTTTAAATCTAATGGCTGCTTCAATATAAACGAAAAGTATCCACAGTGATACTGTTGGTAAGCACACACCCCTCTCTATTGAGAGAAGAGAAAAAGAGAAACACCTCAGTAATATATTACAAGCAGCAAATATTTTAAAGTTATTTTTAAAACATTCCAAAAGTTAAGGGAAATTTTCAGACAGATATAGGGAATTTTAAGAGGTATTTTTCAGAATAAAGTATCTAGGATGTCTTTATTTTAAACCAACTCTAAACTTTTGTCTCCTTATCTTGCTTTATTACTTTTATAAGGCATCAGTGAAAAATAACAGATGCAGAGCTAATGAAATAGCTTGGCACAAAACCCTATACAGAGAAGGAACACGAATGGAAGTAACTGCAGAAGATGAGGTAATGTTACAGCTTATGATGTTTGAGTCAGAAGTGGTGAGCTTGGACTACTTTTTCACTCCAAGTTAGGTATATCTTAGTAGCAGCAGTGAGCAAATCAGCTGAGAAAACAGGGGTGAGTAAGCACAGTACTGGTTACTCCATATACAGTAATGCAGACAACAGTCTGCGACTCAAAACTCTACATCGGGAGAACATTTAGGACGCATCTCTCCAGCACTACTGGTGAGAATGTAAAATAGTAGCCAAGCAAAACTAAGGTCTTAAACCTCTTGGCCAATGGAAAACACCACTGTGGCTTGCAATATAGCCACTGTAAATTTCCACAAATCAATTGCAGTTACATGCCACAAGCTTCATCAAAATAAACAAAGTTCTTGATAACATTCTGACATCAACATATAGTGTGCTGATGTGGAAACAGGTCTCAAATTTGAAACTAAAAAGACCATTACTCTGAGGCCCTGATGTTATTTACTGTGGTCTCCAGTTTGGTCTGGTCTCTCTTGAATAGCTGCACTCTGCATAAATGAGAAACCTATAGCAGAAACTGTCAGCTTAAAGGAACTCAACATATCAGCTAGGTAGACATACCACCTAAAAAGATCATTACTTCTTAAAAAAAAAAAAAGTAAGTTCCCATCAACTAAGATGAGCATTTAAAAAGAAGAAACCCCAACGTTGCAGTGAATTAAAATATTAAACAAGCTCAATAGCTACAGTTAAAACTGGCCCATCAGGTTTTTCCTTTGGGGTTTCTAAACATCAACCCTGAGAATGACTTCAGATAACACTTTAACATATTAATACAATCCTAAAAATAACTCCAGATTTTCTACGTATTTTAAATTGGGCAGCAACTGGTTCACAGTATCTTCCATTAGCTCCCACATTGTCATTATTATAAATGACTAACTTGTCAGAAAGATGACTGCTTTCACCAGTAAGCTGAGAAATGATCCATGCTATCCTGCAAATTCTTGTGATCTGATGGCAAGTCTCACATGAAATATTACAAAAGCCCCAAATCCCAAGGACTTGGGTAGTGAAAAGTTACCTCTAAGAAAAAAAATTTTAAAAAAATAATTAAAAAAAAAAATCAAGATTTATTCCTAAAATTTTTTGATTGAGGGAAAGACATACACATAACCCATATCAAGTATTAGTGCTCATGCAAAGTAAACCACCTCCCCCCAATGCAACTGCTGCCCCATAACCCAAGGATTTATTAAAACAAACCCAAACAACTAAGGATAAAAAAAAAAAAAAAAGGGGGGGGGAGGGGAGAAGATTTCTCCATACATGTCTCAAACTGTTGGGGCAGCCACTGGTATTACCAGCCTTTTTGCTCAGAAAACGAATCCAGTTGACACAAAGGTTTGACTAATACAAATTTAAACTATGATAATATCAAAAATTAACAGCACACTGATCAAGTAGTAGGAAGAAAGTAACACTGTTTCACAAACTTTTTGTATGTGCTCTGTATTTGTTGAATTGCTGCAGAAGTGTTTTGAAGTCAGGAAAATTTTTTTTTCTTTTTTTACTGCTCTGGAATTCCTGTTTATACACCTTCAGTTCCATTGGCCAAGCTTTAATCATCATAACTACAAGATGCACCCAGACATGTATCAAGTGCAAATTGGCATACCAACGAAAGTAAAAGAACATTTTTTAACTATAACAAAATGGCATTAAAACAAAAGTGGTAACAAATAGAATAGGGTTTCTGCATGTCAAATCAGTAAGTTGTAAATAAAGAATAGTGACCTACCTGTGTGCCAGACATACTGTACCCAAACATACGTGCTGGCAGCAAAAAACAGCCATTGTATTGGTATGAAGAGCAGACATATTATATTTGATGTGAATGCTACACAAACAAAAAATACTGAAAAGGCCTAAAAGAAAGGAGGGGTGGGGGGAAAGAAGAGTGTTTTGGTTTATTCCAGCAATTACCAGTTTATTAACGGTGACACCACAATGATTTCAACATAGAAACACTAGTGCTGTTCATAATCAAGGCAAAGAAATGGAGCAGTCTAGCCAACGAAAGTAGAAACTTAGCCAATTAAGAGAGAACAGGCACAATTTGTGAATTTGTACCCATCTACTCTTCCAAGGAGTCTCCAAACAGCTATATTTATTCCTTATTATTTTGTTTGAAGACTTTCATTTACACTGTTGATATAGTATTATCATTGCTATATTCTCCTTCTGGAAAAAAAAAACCAACCACCAAACAACCAGCAGTGTCATTTACTCTGAAAGAGTAGTAAATATCTAAACAGGCAAGGGCTTCTGTTTTATTTTAAACAAAACCCTGTTATATAGGGACCTAAACCAATTCACTAATCTCAGGAATTCAAACAGTATTTTCCTATGGTGAAAATTTGATAGCTATGTAAGTCACTGCCACTTGCCACAGATAAAACAGGCAGTCAGAGAGAAGAGCCTTGAGCCCAGGTCACCTAGTCATTAGAAAATTCCTCCTCTTGTGAAAATGATCATCAGTGCGATTAAGTTAGTTGTATAACATGGAATAGGCCCTGAAACTTTGCAGGATTTCCCTACAAAGGGACAGCAATTTTGTGTTATACTTACCAAACCCTGGTATCTGAAGGAATCGTAAACACTCCTGATGAAGAGCCAGAATGGCCACAGATACTCAAATCTGAACTCCAGGACAAAATCTGCCAACAGTACTAGGGCCCACACTACCAGGAACTTCAGATACAGAAAAGTACTGGTAAAAAAAAAAAAAAAAAAAAAAAAAAAAATTTCAGGTCAGTGTTTCCAATAGAGAGACTTAATACTACTTTTTTTTTTTAATTAAAAGTTCAGGAATAAAAACTATAGACAAGTGTAATACAGATAAAGAAGAAGAAAGTTTCATTCAAGATAATAAAGCTACCTATTTTGTAAAATTATTACATTAAAATCAGGCTTGGTCTAATGAAGTTAATTATATTCAACTGCGTTTGTTTTTAAAGTAGCAAAGAAACAGAAGGCTTGCTGCTCTTACAAGACATTCAGCAACAATCTCCCTTTAGCTTTGCAGTGTATTTTTACAAAGCAAAGTCTTGCCAACAGGTATGCTATCATGGCTGAAGTGTTTCCCTTCTAGTTTGCACTCTTGGAGCTCAGAAATTTCTGTGTTCCCTCTCCTCAGCAGACTGCAGATGTTCACTCATTTTCCACATTTAACACAGACAAACTGCAACACCAATAAATTGAGATATATTTTAAGCCTATAACTATAGCAATTAGGAAGACTGTTTTGATACTGAGTTGTCAGTGTTATATTTGAAAACATCCATATTAAAGTAAATGCATCCACTAAAAAAAAAGAAACAACAAACTAAGAGAAAAATGGAGGCACATGAGACTTGAGAGCAGACAGTCTAACTTCTATTTTTTTCATTATTTCAAAGCCACATTCCCTTATTCTCAGTCCTGCATTTTAAACCATTGATGATCCTTCTTGGCTACGGAGCTCAAAACGTTTTGAGATCGCACCTAACTGACACAGGACCACTTGAGGGATCAGCCCAATCCATTCTGCTAAAAAAAGGAGGAAGCAAAAACCCTCTTCCCCTAAAACCCAGCACCCAGAAATCTAGTATGTTACTCCAGTTTCCCAAAATGCAACTACTTTGTTGCACTGTATCGGGTTGTAACAAAGTGGATTTTTAAAAATATATTTTTATTCTTTAAATCAAGGGCAGTTTTTCCTTGTGGTAACTTATTTTTCCTCCTCTATCATACTGCCAACAAAACCAGTAGAACTTTGCCCTGGAATGTTTACTGATAAGTTGCCAAGAGGTTGCATGCACAGTGCCAGGTAGGGTCAAGTTTCTGCACTGTTCACAGACATGTGGCTTTTTTAGGAAGCTGTTCAGAGCTTCAGAGAAGATACAAAATAGAAAACTTCTACCAAAACTGTTATGAACCAACAGCAGTTTAGAAGCAACTGAACTACTTGCCCAATTATCACTCACGTTACTTGTAACACAAGGTCAGCTTCTAAACCACATGACTGGGACAACACTTTTGATTTCTTGTGAATCAAGATTAATTGCATGTGCATGAAAATGACCCTTATCAACTGTCCTGGCCCTACAGCTTCCCCCAGTGGAACAGTTTTTGCTTAGCTTTCTTACTTACTGTATGTTATCAGGCTCTCCCCTAAACTCCAATGCCAAGGTTTTCACTGTGACTAGACCCCCGAAAGGAATTGCTTCAGTGGAACCACTTACATATATGCTCTCAAACATGCTCACACAAGGACATGCTTTAAATCAGCACAAACTAAAGAAGGACTTCATAGCAAATACATTTCTGAAGTCCGAGACAAATAAGCAACTATTCCTACATTTAACCCACCTCAGCTTCCTCCCACCCACTTTTTTGAATATTCTGTATCTGGAATTTAACATAATGGGACTGAAAAAAAAATGCAAGTAAAAAGGCTACAGGAAGCACTTTAATTCAATGGAAACAAAATTAATACACACACACACCCCCCTGGAAAACTTAAGATACTGTTTTTTTCAGTTTTTATAGAACCACCCCCAGCCACTTAGTCAAAAATTACTCTTCGAGAAGAATGAAACTACAGTATATATATTAAAAAAAACCAAACCCAACCCACAACAAACAACAAACAAAACCCATCAAAAAAACTTAAATGCTAATGTTTGCCTAAATATGCAAGATTATGCTTGCATATTTAAAGTCTACATCCTCAACAGAAATCTGTAAAAAGCAGCTGCATTCAGAGAATACTTAGACATAAAAGGTGACAGGCATTTGGGGATGCAGTCACCACTCTGTTCATTTTGACCATGTTGTTGAATTGTACACGTGCAGCTCTTAAGATTTGAGAAAATACATAAAGGCATCACACCCAGGCAATCATTATTCTGTCTGTATAGCTGGAAAAGCAGTTGTGTTGTGTAGGCACTTTTTCCTGGGTTAAAGTTATGGCTATTGTTTATTTTTCTGCCACTGAAATCTACAGAGAGACTACATTTTTCCTAGCAAATTAGGGTTGTCAGAACTAATGCTTTTCAACTGTTAAGTGCCACTCTAAGTTAAAGCATTTGCTGAATAAGAGTTCTGTAATACAGCCATTAAAGTGATTTCTAATATTAAATTCATATCAATCCAAAGGCCATGGTGACATGTACCACTTTTTAAAGTGGAATTGTAACAATACAACATTTGTAATAAGGTTTTCCCAACAATATTAAAGACCCTACTTCTCAGTCATCTGAAGGACTCAAAAGCAATTAAGAATTTAATGAGTACAAGACTAAGGCACAAGAAAGTTATTTCCTTTTATAAAAGACTTCATCTACTTACGTTGGCCTCAGCAACAAAGTTCACTCTTGTGTAATATAGTCTACATATGCATTCAACTGCATGAGTCCACATGCATACACGCACTCATAGAAAACATTTTAAAGGTACTATACTCAATCAGCTGGGTTTTTTACCTCAGGACCCCCTGCCGCCCCCAATTAAAGCATGCAGGACTGCAGAGTCAGAGGCTGCAGTCCATAACGAAACACTCCACCCCAGCTTTAAAATCGACATAGGTAGCAGCCTAAAGACATAAGCCGCCTCCTCAAAATGGGCCGGTTTTACACACTGCGCTGAGCTTCCACGCTGCCACGGTTACATACACTGCTGGGTTACAACCAGCTCGGGTGTCTTTGCTGCACACTGCAGTCTGCAGATGGCAATGAATCTTTGTAGGAAGAAGAAAGGAACACAAATCTCGGCTTCCCTTCTTCCATAAAGGTACGCCTGCACACCGGGATTTGCTGTTCCTGGCAAGCACATAGTTCATAAGTTAATTTACAAGTGCTTAGTGAACAGACACCTCTTCAGTGAACACTTAAATTAGTGATAGCTGAAAAACGTCCAGCAAGAATTAAACCCCAAAGAAAAACAGGCTAACGGACCTCTCATTTGGACAGGCTAATCACTCTTCAGCTGTTTTGTTTCATATGACAGACCGTTCGAATAACATGACATGAATGAAATGACTAACAAAATTTAGCAATAGCCCTCCTCCCTTTCTCTGCTCTCACTTTTGCTTCATCTTTGCTCTTCAATCCCTTGATTCTTTCCAGGCACAGTTCTTCCCTTCAGTGCATTTCTATTGTTATCTAGTCTCTGTCTCCACTGCACCTCCTCTCCAACACACTCATCCGGCACTCCTTCGGAATCCAGCACCAGCCATTTGGTGTCTGTGAACCTCTGATAGTCATTGATCTTTCTGAGCACATCCACACATTTCTCCAATTTTGATAGCTGCTGCGTCAGTATCCTCACTTAGAGATAACATTCACTAGGCAGAAGTGCTTTCTAACCTCTGTAGCCCTTATGTTAGAAAGGCTCAAATATATTCCATGATGCTAATTATAATTCCAAGTTTGTTCTCAATACAGGGGAAGATTGTTGCAGATAAATACCTAAAATCTGGGTTATCCAATTTTCTGACACATGTCAAAAAAGCTGACTTCAGTGATGTGACAGAGGTTTAAGGAGGACAGGGCTTTCCCTATAAAACCAGCATACGGTATCTAATCTTCTAGGGTAATACAAGACAAGGGGGAAGGATGGACACATTCATGAGAAGAGCAGGGTACCAAGCGGGAAGGAGCAGTGATTACACTGCTGCAAATTCTGTGGAAGTCAACTGATTGCTAATGTATACTGAACATAAAGATTTATTCAGAGCCCAACAGTGGCTGTGCTCCCCCTTCGAATTTTCAAACAAATAATTTTCCTCCTTATTCTTTCTCCCCCCATCAAGTGTCAGATGCCGCCCCCCCCCCCCCCTTTTTTTTTCTCCTCTTGTTCTTTGTTCTCTTTTTACTGCCCCACAGAAGCAGATATTGTGCTTGCTGTAAGGTAAAATATTGCCAAAAAATCACTAGAAAAAACACACAATTATGCACCCCAAATCCAAACTGGTAGCAAATCAAGCCTCTATTCTATCCCACTATTACCAGCAAGTCCCAAAGGCTGGAAAGTGAATCTTAACAGAACTGATGGCATGTTTCATTCTGCAGCCTGACTCACACAAGACAATGGAGTGGAAGGCATCTTGAGGCTGGCAGGGTGCTAAATGCAGAGGTAGGCTTTAGAAAGGTGAAATTTAGCATAGCTGTGAAATTACCAAGGAGTCAACAACCACCATCTCAAGGTTACCCATCCAATACCAGACAGAACAGTGGGGATGCTGACTGAATATCACTGGAGATTTTCAAATAAAAAAGCTTTATATATGTAAACACACAAATATATATATATATGTAAGATTATTACTAGTGGATTAAAAAAGTACTACAGAACGAGCACAGGAAGTATGCAAGACAGAAAATATGACTGCTGGGATGTGGTATGTATATTGGAAACTATTATGTGAAACACTTGCCAACTAAATTTTTGAAAAGGAAGAGAAATGTAAAGAATCCCAGGAAACCTCCCTGACTACTTATTCAGTGTCTTGATATGGCATAGAATATATCAATCACCAAACTATGGAAATGTAAGTAAAGGAAGACAAAATAGAAAACCCTTCCAGTAATTCTGGAAGCAAGTGTAACAGACTGCTGAACCACAGGCATATAATCAGCAATCAGTATTGTAATACTGAAACAAGAGAAACTGTTAGCCCACTACGGTAACTCAGCTGAAAACACCAGAGTACAGAACACATAAAGCTAGAGGAATTGCAGTGTGCAGGGAATGAAAGTCACTGGCAGAGGGAAGCAATATTACATGTACTGTTGGGGTTGACACAGTAGAACAGGTTTAAATGTAAGCTAAATTAGATTTGAGACCTGAATTTAAGTACTAAAAGGTAGCACTGCTGGTTTGTTACAGACCTCCAGGGCAGGTTGAGAAGAAAATGTTTTTCCCCGTATAGCAAGCTTATAAAAAAGTGCCAGAATAAATCAGTAGGAATAATTGTCATGGATTTAAAAAAAAAAAGAAAGAAAGAAAAAGCCTAAAAAAGGCCACATTCCTGGAGTTAGTAATGAACCGTTTTTCCTTACAGTTTATTTGGATGTCAGCAGAGTCAGAACTCAAGGCCTTGGAAATAAGCCATATCAGAAGTTAGGTGGCATACAGAACCACATGAGTATCTTAGCAAAGGGATTGTGATATCAAGAAATGCTGCCCAGTATGAGATGCCCAGGGGCACAGACTGCCTTTATTCCATCAGTGGGTACCTCAGTAACCACTTGGAGATTACAGACACATACACATCCTCCCAGGCATTCACTTGGCTGCCAGCCCAGGTAATGCCTGTGATAAAGGGCAATATATATATATATATATATAGGCTAAAAATCCTAATTCCAAAGGAACATACAGTGTTTAAGGACTATTGTCAGGAAACCCATGATACATAGCATAAGCCAGCTGATGTGACAGCGTAAGTTAAGCCAGTAACATGTGGAATTCATCTTGAAACTTAACCAGCTACAAAATTGGTACCAAGTGCCAATATGACTCAGTAGAGCCAAAACAAGCAGTAACAGCAATAAACCTGAAGTATTTTAAATAGATCAAGGATGAGGACTGGGAAGAGTTAGAAACAAGCAGTAACAAGTAAACTTTAATTGCTTAACTGATGACAAGCTGCAATGAAAACTTTAATTAACAATTAAGGTTTTAATGCATGCACAGTGTCAAAGGTATAAAATGTTAATCACTCAAGCATTGTAAAACAATGGCAACGGATAGCTTAAGAAGTGAAAAGGCAAAGTTTTGAACATACACTGTAGAAATAACAAGATATCTCACAATTCCTACCATTAGTTTGTTGGTTTCGGAGATCTATTGAAAGCACAGTTATGTTTTAATTATAATAATGTTCTTTCCACAGATACTGTAATACTTCTAAACAGCATAAGTCTTTATCGCACTTGCACATGGTATTAGATTCATCAGGTTTTTCAGAGTACAGGTAGCAATATTCACTTGAAGCTGCGATACTATACCACTGGCATCCAAGGCTTCAGTCGCAGCACACAGGAGCAAAGCTGCTAATGGCAGTGCTGGTATGCCATGTTATGCAGTGCTTGCACACAGCCTGAAGTACCTTAGAGCTGTAGATGGGGAGTAAAACTAAACTGAAAGGGAAAAAAAGGGGTAAAAAAGGCAGAAAGGAAAAGGAAGAAAAAACAGCAGAATGTAAAAAAGCAGTATAAAGAAGAACAGGGAAGGCAGCTGTTGAAAATTTGGTGGGGAAGGGGCAGGGGGGAAGACTGGTCAGGAATAACTTTGGAAGTGTTTATGAAGGGCTGAGGCCAAACAGTCCATTTAATCTAGGTAGTGAATGTTGGGGAAGGTACTTTAAAGAACTACAGCTGTAAAATTTCAAGTAAGAAAGGTTGTGAACACTTAGATCAACTTGTTAAAAAGGATACTGCAGAAGTTGGCAAAAAAATTAGCATTCAGGGAGACAGGATATTCACATTTTTCAATGCAACCCAGGATTTTACATTTCTAACTCTCTTCTGTGACTAGAAATTATTTTTCTATCACTTCATATAATTTGCTTCAGATTTACACATGTAGAAAACCCTGCCACCAGAGTTTTACTGCAGGACAATTCCTTCATTGCTTCACCTCCTCCAGAACTGTTCAGCTTTGCAGCTCTCAACTACGCTTACATGTGTCGATTAGTGACAGCTGTGCCTAGCTCTGCATTTTAAGATTGGAGAGGGAACAAGGATGAGAAAATTGGTCTTAATTTTAAAAGCAAACAAAAATCCTACAAGAGTTAAGTATCTCAATCATGCTGTTTGTTCAGCCTAGCTGCTTAGCTTCTAACACTACGATGCTACCTACTGATAACTGTATTTACTGGGTTTGTGTAAGTTGATGGTGACAATTAAGATAAGTTGAGTAAATAACTGTAATAGTTACAAGAATTTAGAACTCTGTAGTTATATGAGAAGCTACCTGTATGTAATCTCTTTGAATTAGGGGGGCAAAGAAAAGAGGTTAAAAAAAAAAAAAGAGAGAAAAAGGAGAGCAAAAGAAACAAGAGAAAGAGCCACTATGCATGTAGAAGTACCTCTCTCTGGTTAGATTTCCAAAGAGGCAAGACTTCACACTAGCTTCTCTTTTCTTTCTGTGGGACAGTACTTTGAAATCACTGACTACTTCTATTTATCAAAATGCCACGTGAAACAAAGGCTAAAAATCCTACTTCTGAACTAAAGCATTCCAGGAGAAGTTAGTACAAGAAGCCAGATGTCTGTCTCAGCTGTTCACACAACTACAACAGCTCTACATGCTGAACACACTCATCATCTGGTGTTCTCATCTTTTTCTGGTTTTCCCTCCTTCTCTCACTCCACCTTTCCAGCCAGTCACCTCAAAGTGACTGATTTTGAATGACTTTTGAAAACTAAGTAATTGTATAAGGAATTGCTTATATTTGAATTATTTTCCTAGGACAAGCCGTCTTAAATATTAATTTTTAAGCAATGGATGCTTTTTCTTTAACATTCCAAGCACTGTTTTCTAAACACGTGAAAGAGTCTAAAGCAACAAGATGCTCTCTACTCTCACGTAGAGATTCACTACAACTAGGATAAGCAGTATATCGTGACAATTTTATTACAGTCAGAGCTCACTATCAACTGTTTCACTTATGCAAAGCTAACATCTGCATTGTATGAGTTTGCTCAAGTTTCCAGCCACTGCATACATAAACCTCAACTCAACTAGAAACAGATATGGGACATTACGCTCACTAGAACTTCCAAAAGCCAGGTTTCCAGCCTCTACTAGAATAAACCGCTCTTTATTCAGAAATATGTTAATTGTTGTATTTCATATAAAACTTAGCATACTTAGATACTCAGGAGGGCAGGGCTCTGAAATACTGTTTAAAACATGCTCACAACAAGCAAACTCTTAAGAATCTGTGCTTTGGTGGTGCGCTCTGCGTGTGGACACCTGGAAAGCATGCCCTCATTCCAAGGCACTGATGAGGTACCTCCCGCACCTAAGAACGTGGATCTCATTTCACCACAGTTTCCCTTCTCGTTTCGTATGTCAGAGGCGAGTCAGACACCCACTGCGTTTTCACCGCCACGAGGCCATCCATCCCTGCTCCAGGCACGACCCACACAAGCTCTTACTCGCATCCCTCGCTGCTACACCTATCGCTCTCGCCCGCTTCCACCGCAGAGGCCACACCACAGGTACCTTCACCACCACGTGAAAACCAAGTTTCCCAACCTCAGCGCGAAAGGCTGCCGCCCGCCAGAAGCCAGCAACCCAGATGCTAGCCCGCTCCACCACGCTGTCGAACCGCCGCAGCACCCAGTTCACAGGTTTAGCGCTGCTGCCAAAACCCAGCCGTGAGAACCCACCCGCTCGGGAAACCTCCCCAAGGGGAAAACAGGGCGGCCAGGGCCCCCCCGTTCCACCACACAGGTGCGAAGCCCGGGGGGTGGGGGGGGGTGGGGGTAGGCTCCCACCGGCTCCTCGCCGCTCCTTCCTCCAGGCAGCGCCGACAGGACCTTGGCCAGCAGCTCCCCCCCCACACCCCGCGTTC